GATTGAACTCAGGACCCTGTGCTTACCAGACAAGCACTTATTCTACTGAGCTATCTCCCCAGCCCTCATCTCTCTTTTTAAGTGTTTTTTCTTGTCATGAAAATAAGGACTTATATTAGTTCATATTTGTTTTATAAACGGCTGGATTTCATGGTGGTGTTTTTGTATATGCCTGTAATATTTTCTTTCTTTCTTTCTTTCTTTCTTTCTTTCTTTCTTTCTTTCTTTCTTTCTTTCTTTTTGCAGAATGGGGAATTGAACTCAGGCCCTTGCACTTGCCAGGGAACCGTTTATTTCACTGAGCCATCTCCCTGTATGTCTGTAATATTTTATGGAGAGGATGGAGTTTTGTTTGTTTTGTGGTACTGGGCATTGAATCCCAGGCCTATGCATTGAGCTATATCCCCAGCGCCTTTTAAAATTTTAAGTTCGAGGCAGTCTCCCTCAAAGTCACTAAGTTGCCCTGCCTGGCCTCAAACTCCAGTCTCCCTGCCTCAGCTTCCCACAATGTTGCTCTTACAGGTACAGCTACAAGCCACTATGCGCTGCTGCAAAGATGAAATTTTGATAATGATACTGAACCAAGGAAGTCCTGGGACCAGTGGGATATTTAAATTCCATTTAATTTTGTGCTATTTAAATTCCCCAGCCAACAAACCAGTACTGAGCTACATTTGTAGATACGGTCTTTTAGTAAAGTTAAGGATTTAGTTTTTCTGCAGTTTCAAAAATTCCTCCTCTGTTTCCCCTCACTTCTCTTTATGTCCTTGTTTCATAAGTCCCACTTTCCTCAGCTTCTTCCTTGCTTCCATGTTGATATCAGATTGTCTGTTTTCCATTTTGGGAAGGATTTGTCTAATTTGAGATTGCCTTTCTTTTGTTTTGGAGGTTAAAATTGCCTTTAAAGTCACATTGTTGTGGATCATGTCGGCACACTTACGTGTACATAGATACACCATCTGGTTGTGCCCTTGTGCCTGCCTTGGGGAAGTGTAGCAGTTACACTCAAGCTGATGGTGCACCTCTGTGGCACGTGGAGTAGCACATGCTGGGCACTGTGCCTCAGGACCCCAGGCCAGGGTAAGGAGTGGCTTCTGAGGGGAGCCCTCTCTTACACCTGTGAACCCCTTTGGCAATGGTTTTAGATCAGTCATTTTATTTTATTTTTAAAAAAATTTTATTGACAAATAGCAATGAGACAGTTTCAAAACAGGTTAATAGGACAGTTACAATGATTAATGTATTGCATATTGTTGCCTTCATAGTAGTTATTCATAATACAAGATGCAGACATGATATCCTTTTCAAACACTATTAGTACAAATTTTTCTTTTCATTGAATTAAGAGGAAGTAGCTGTATATCTCTCCTATTTTGTATATACAGATACAAAATTCATTTTGTATCTTCATTTATATCCCCTTTTTTTGTTTAGTTTTGTCAGAGATGGGTATTCTATTGCCATTTAAATATTATAGGTGCATGAATTCGAAAGTCATTTTAAAAATGGAGAAAAATGAGGTGTTTGACTAAGGAATGTCTAATCATTGGTGGCCACTTTTCCAGTTTTCACTTCTTGGTGAAAATAAATTTCTAGATGTCTGTGTGAACATCTCAGAAGTTACCCCTTTGTTTCTTCCTGAGGGGGTCCTAGAAAGTGAATTTTATTATTCCTTCTCTCTGGTCAGTAGTTAGTAAACAAGTAGCCAGCAGAATTGAACACTGGCTAAAGAAGCTAAAGAAATAGCTACCTTTGTATTTGTCTTTTAAAATACTCATCTTGGTTAACAGTTACAGAGCAGTGGGGTGTAGTGGTGCACGCCTATAATAAGCCCAGCGCTCAACACGCTCAGGCAGGAGGGGCTCAGGCAGGAGGATTACTATAAGTTTGAGGCCAACCTGGCCTACATAGTGAATTCAAGGCCAACTTGAACTACATAGGGGAGACCCTGTCTCAAATCAAACAGCCACCCCAAAGCAAACAAAACAAAACAAAACAAAAAATGGCACAGTAACTTGACATTATTTTAACCTGTTACTCAGAAATCAAAATAAGAAGGATTTTTTTTTTTTTTTTTTTTTTTTTTTTGTTGGCTCAGGTTGCCTTAAGGACAGATCTGGTAAGACAGGTGGAGGTGGGAATCGAACCCTGCACCTGCACCTGCACCTGCTCCTGACTTCGTTTGCATGAGCAGGCCCTCAGAAATCAAAATGAGAATGCTTCCTTTTGTCATGTCTTAATCATAATATGAATGTAGGTCCTTTTCATTTGCTTTGAAGTACTTGGAAAAGAAGCTTGAGTAAATATGACCAGTGGGTTTAATGCTTTAAAATGAGTCAGCTTTGTACCTAGCAGTGGCCACAGTCAGAAGTATTTGTGTTCTTAACCTAGTGAAGGGTTAATGGTGGGGGCCCTGGGCCCTGCTCCCGAGTACATACATGTTCTTCTCTGTGGCGTGTCTTAGAGAGGAGGGAAGACTACTGAGGTCAGGATTTAGAATAAAGCCTGAGCAACATACAGACTGCACACTAGTGGATGGGATGACAGCCTCAGCGTAGTTGGAGGAAGCCCACAAGCAAGCTGGGTCCTTGACCTCTGCAGCCTGGCAGGAGCACTGAGTGATGAAACCTGGGTCAGGAGAAAGACAGGACATTAGCTTTCTACCTCACTGCACTGCCACCTCCTCACCCTTGCTCAGTTTACCCTTAGAAATCCCACCAGGTAACAGTTTGCTGTGTTATTCTCTGTAGGTTCACGTGGACAAGCTGGACATGTTTAGAAACATGCCCGACATCCTCCAGCACCTCACCACAGAGCGCAGCACCCAGATCCACGCCTGCCGCCACCCCAAGGTAGCTGTGAGACAACCATTCCTGTGGGATGTATGGGACCCAAAAGTTCCAGCTTTAACAAGGAACCTCAGACATTCCATGTGGAGGCTTCTCACTTCACGGAGGAGAGAACCAAGCCTGTGGTCCATCCTGAGTTGAAGGCTGGCCTCAGTTAACATACACCTGTTAGCCATGGACACAGGTTCTTCGAGTTGTAAAATCTACTTCTATACATTTGAGAATGTAAATTTACTTGTAATGAAATTATAGTGCAGGGGTTCAATTCATGGTCTCACAAGCTGTGCTGGCCCTGCCCCCAGCCTCAGGCTGAGCTGGTGATTGAAACTGGGCGTGGTGACTCACACCTGTAATCCCAGCGCTTGGGAGGCTAAAAACAGGAGGATCACTATGAGTCCGATCTGTGTAGTAAGACCCTGTACAACATGTACTAAATACATTTTATTTTATTTTTTTAAAATACATTTAAAAAAAAAAGAAATTATAAGGTGTTGTAGCTTATAATTTAAGTGAACTTTTCATAGATTGATGGGTCTGCACCTGTGCACTGGTCTCCAGGTCATCGCGAGTCAGCACAGTGCTGGACTCCCCAAGCCAAGGATGAGGAGCCGCTCCTGGACTGTCTTCCTTTCCCTCTGCTGGGTTAACCCAGGAACTTCCTAAACTCCGTCCCTAGCTCAATCCCATAAAAGCTCCAACCTCTGTCTCCACCTCGAGTCTCTGGCTTCTCTTTGGCCACCCTCCTGCTCCCAGCTATGAAGGATTCCTTTGCTTTTACCAGCTTCTCTTTTGCGCCAGAGGAAGGCATCTTACATTTATTTTGGAGTGTGTCTCTTTTTTGGTACAGGGATTAAACTCAGGGCTTTGTGCTTGCCAGGCAGGCACTTACACCGCTGAGCTATCTCCCCGGCTTTATTTTTAAAAAATTTTATTAGTACATATTTGCCGTACATAATGATCACATTCAACATAGGAAATTTGTACCTGTACATAAGGTCTTAATTCCTCTTTTTCCCATTCTCTTCCTCTCCTTTGACCTTTCTCCCATCTCCATTTACAAAAGATTTGTTTCCATTTTTTCCTTCCATTCTCTTATTTTCGCTTTCTTCTCCCTGCCTTCCCTTGTTCTTCCCATTTGAACGTGTTCTTCCTACTTCCAGTATCTGTCCTCCACTTTATTACTTATCTACATAAGAGAAACAAGGTGATATTTAAATTTGCATGTCTGATTTATTTTACTTAAGTTTTTTTTTTTTCTCCTAATGCCTTCAGGGCAGGTTTGGCTGGCTTGAGTTGTGGGGATCGAACCTCAGCAACCTGAGCCTGACGGCTTTGTTGAAGCAGCCACTTAAAGAACTGAGCCAAGGGGCAGGCCCCCTTACTTAAGATTATGATCTCAAGGTACATCCATTTCCCTAAAAGTGATTCAAGTTTATCCTTTTTATGGCACAGTAGTACTCCATTTTACATAAATAACCACTTTTTAATCCATTCATTTGTTGCTGTACCTGAGTTGTTTTGAAGACTTAGCTGCCACAATTATGCTGCTGTGAACATGGGTGTGCATGTGTCACTGGTGTGGCGATTTTAACTCTTTTGGGAAGACATTAAGAAGAATATCTGGATCAAATGGGACCTCTAGTCCTAGTTTTTTGAGGAATCTTTACACTGATTTCCATAGAGGTTGTACCAGTCTGCACTCCCACTGACATTTGAAGAAGGGTTCCTTTTTCTCCACAACCTCACCAGCATTTGTTATTGGTTGATTTCTTGATGATAGCCATTCTTGCTAGAAAGAGGTGGAAACTCAGAGTTGTTTTAGTTTGCATTTCTTGAATGACTAGTGATAGCATTTTTCCATATATGTGTGTGTGTGTGCGCGCGCGCCTGTTTGTTCTTCATCTGAGAAGTATCTATTCATTTGAGATGCCCATTTTGCATTGGGTCTTTAGAATTAGGGAGTTTGAATTATTATTATTATTATTGGTTTTTTAAATATTCTAGATATTGAGGAACAGCTGGCAATTTTTTTTTCCCCACCCTGGATTATCTCTTCATTCTGTTGTTGGTTTCTTTTGCTGTGCAAAAACTTTCTAGTAAGATGAGAACTCAGTTGATTCTTTGTGGTATTTCCTTTGTGATTGAAGTTTTGTTGCTAAAGTCTTTGTATCAATATCTTCCAATAGTTCTACCTATTCCATCTTCCAGCAGATTTAAAATTTCTGTTTTAATATAATGTTTAGATCTTTAAGCCATTTTGATTCTAGTTTAGTGCATGATGAGAGACATGGATCTCGGTTCAGTCTTTGGCATGTGGAAAGACGGTTTCCCAGCACTATGAATTAAAGAGGCCATCTTTCTTCCAGTTAACGTGTGTGGCCCTTTTGTCAAGGATAAGGTAGCTGAGTGTGCTGGGAGTTATTTCTGCACCTTCTGTTCTGTTCCCTTGGTACTTGGGTCTGTCTCTTTGCCAGTATGTTAATGGTGTATGTCTAGATGTTCCCCCAAATCCTCATGCAGTCATAGGTGGGGCTTTTTTAGAGGTGCCTGGATCTAGAGCGTGTGATGCTGGGATTGATTCAAGGTTCAGTGCTCTGGACTCCAGGGCATGAGGCCTAAGGGTGAGAGTGCTACCACTTGAAGTAGCCTGGATAAGATTAAAGGGGCAGAAAGAGCTGTGGCCATCCTTTCTTGCTTTTGCTGCCTTCTGCTTGTCATGAGCTGATTCTGCTCTGTGGCTCCCCTCTGCCATGTGCCACCCTACCCTGTAGCCAGCCAATTATGGACTGAAACCTCTGGAAACTGAGCTAAATAAACCTTTGTATCTTTAACTTTGAGTGTTAAGTATTTTTTTCCTAAGCAATGAGAAAAGTAAGATGCAATACCACATTGTTTTTATTGACTTGTGTATATTACACCATTGCTGTATCCTTGGGATGACTCCTACTTGGACATAGTATATAATCTTTTTTTTTTTTTAATTAATTTTATTTATGTGTGTGTGTGTGTGGCCAGCTCAGCCCACCAGGGGGCGGGCTGGCTGGCATATGGTGCTGGGGGTTTGAACCGTGGTCTCTGTGCTTTGCTAAGCTTGTTCTAGCTAGGTGCTTTAGACCACTGAGCCATCTCACCAGCCCCA